TCATTAGGACGAGAAGTCTTTGGTTGTTGAATATCACAAGTTACTTGTGCTATAACTCTGTAATAAATTTGTTATTTTACATTATTATATAATATTTATTTTAATATAATATTTTAATATAATATTATATAATATTTTTTTAATATTTAAATAATAAATCATTTATATATATAAAATAAAAAATATAAAATAAATATATAATCTATAATTAATGTTTATTGATCAATATCAAATATAGAAAAATTTTATGTATAAAAAAATAAATTTTAAATGTTATAATATTTTTAAAAGATTGTCATACATTAAATTGACATTAATTTTACCTCGTTTGACCAAGCAAAACCATACAACTACCCCAATTAGATGCAAAATAAATTTTAACAGGTCGTGCTTCCAATAAACTTCTACCATCTAATCGCTAGAACACATTTTAATAAACTTTTAACTTTTATTTTATAAAGTAAAATTTATTTTATTTATTACACATTATTTTATAAAATAAAATATTACATACTATTCCTTGTTCAACTGATTTATTTACAAAATTTTTTTCACAATTTGATAATAGAATTTCCTTCATGATTTAAAATATCTATTTACAATAAAGATATATATAGATTTTAAAAAAGTATAACCTTTAATTCAAATAATGATATAATGGTTATTATATAAATTTTATATTTTATTATTTTATCACTATTTTTGATTATTTATAATATAAATTAATTTTCTTTTTCATGTTAATATAGTTGTAAATAAAATATAAATATTGTTAAACACTATCCCATTTCATTTTTTATTATCGACATTTATGCTGACAACATAAATTTATTAATCGATATTTTATTATCGAGATAATCGATTTAGAAATAGATTATGTATATTATTTTATCACTATGAAAAATAATAATGGAAAATAATAAAAAATAATTAAAATTAATTAAGAAAATTTTAAATTACTAATTTTATTTATAAATATTAAATTTTATTTATTATTACGATATGTAACAAATATAATTTTTATATGTAAGATTATATATTTATTATTAATTTAAGTTTAAAAATTATATATAATTATTAACATTTTTTACAATTTTTTTATAATTTTTATATTTTCTTAAATAATAATCTTAAATAATGAGAATTAATGTTTAAATATGAAAAATATACATTTATTCAATTAGAATATAAAAGAACATATAATTAAATTGATTTTCGTTCTTATAATATATGATTTCTTTCAATCGATATTGTCTGAAAATATAATATATATTGATAACATTTGACATCATCATTCAACATATGAACGTCCCTTAATATTTCTTATTAAAAAATTGTTTTTTTTGATTCTTTTTAAATTTTAATGTGATTTTATTAATTAGAATCGAAATACTGAAATAAAATATTTAATAACAAAATAATAATTTCAAGATATTA